CTAGGAGATTTTCATTTTTTTTTTGTGCATATCTATGCAACTTGTCTAATTATGAATCGATTTTAATAATTGTGCAATTGGAAGGGTTTGCTGCCGTGGCAGTCTTGTACTCGTAAAGTGGCATTTTTTGCGAAGCAAACCTTTCTTAACAAAATATTCGTTTTAATTTGTCTTTTATTATTGTTATCGCCATTCAAATCTAAATAATATTTTATTGTCAAGTACTTGATAACTCGATAACATACATACAAACAAATACAGTACCAAGATATTGTAAACTCTTTATTTATCTGCCGTAAATATACTTTCCAAATTAAGTATTTAATAAACACTGTCAAATAAAACATAAATTAAAAATAAAATCAGTTGCTCCCATTCACTGTGTATACTAATTTAGATAATAGGTACGTCATTTACAAGAACTCCGACTCAATAAATTTTATGCAACGCAACGTTAGAGAAAGAGACAAAGAGACAAATGCCTCTTTAATAAGACTCCAGCAAACACGCTGTGTAAATGAACCAATCACCTCAATGACATCACGTACTATCACAATAAACTTTACATAGTCTCGTAAAAGTTTAATGACGTGACATCGTAAGCGAAATGCATACTTAATTTGCGATTAAATTTAACAATGTTGTCTGTTCATTATCTATACGATTATATTAGAACAATAAAGAGGGAAAAATTAATATTATGAATTTAGCTTAAAAATGAAAAAATAAAGAAAATAAGTTTATTAGACATCTTTTTATGAATAAGTATGTATCTCTCCTATTGTAGTCTTTCAACTATAATATAGTATACATCAAAATATACGTACGTTAAAATAAATAACCTGTATTAGACTTATTTACATAAAAAAATAACTACAAAAGAACAAGAGATTTGTCAATAGACGAAATATACAAAAATTGGCAGTGCTTGCCTTGGATAAATAACCCAAAGAGGACAAACCTATACATACATTTACATTCCCAATTTTGTAGGCCTAACTCTTATTCGACTTCATTTATATTAAGATTATTTATATTTTTCTCTAAATATACATCTTTTGTTTTCATTGTAATCAATCTATAAATAAATTTTAACAAGACTCCAGGGAGCACGCTATGTAAATGAACCCAATCACGCCACAATGACATCCCGTATTGTCGCAATAAACATTATTATACTATGGCGTTGTTACACGGTAAGCGAAATGTAAACATAACACATGATAGGAATTGACGATAAGTTCTGTTTACTATCACAGTAGAGCCAAATGATTGTTATGCTTGTAGGCTATAATTATTATGTCCCTACTTATTTATATAAAAGTATTTACAAGTTATTCCGTGTGGTCTCAACATACGAGTAGAATAAGCCACCTCTTCCATTCCCGTGGGTATCGTCTCTCCAAAAATCTCCAAAGTCTAACTACGGTAGCCAATCCGCCTGCCAAGCGTGGCAACTACTGGCAAAATACCGCAAGGGGGTGGCTTATGTTAAAGAGTGAACAGTTAAAGGCTGATATTATCATGATGAAGATGATTTACAAGTTATACATGTCTGTCATTGACGTATACAAAAATGTATTAGATTTTTTAATGCACTGATTCAACCAAACCTAAAGTACATCCTTTATCTATTATTTATACCATAAATAATAAAGTGTATAAATTACACACTGTTAGTAAACGCATTACTCGAGAACGGTCTAATAAACCAAATTCCTCATTTCTTTTTAAATTTGCAATGGTCCAATATCGATTTTAAACAAAGAAAAAACTATAATTTAGAACAAGGACGATTGAGACCATCACTTGCAAAACCAATTTGGCTATATTTTTAAACTTCAATCATATTCTAGCAAGATTTTTAGAAAATTAATGTAACAAAATTTTAAATTAGAATCTATCAGGTTGACTGTAATAAATATAAATGTATAATAGGGTTTAAGAACACTCTGGCAAACACGCTGTGTATATGAAATCAATCATGTCAGAATTACATCATACACTATAAGGAACAAATGGTGTCGTAAAAGTTTAATAACGTACATCGTAAGCGAAAAGTAAACTCAATTTGCGAAAAAAACTGATAAAGCTGTTTGTTTACTATCTATACGACAGTGTTGTACTAAACTTGAGCCATATGGATGTTACTATTTGAGAATATTTTAAAAGGCGTAACCTTGCATTTTGTAAAACTATTTAGTTTTACAAAATGGAGGATATTTTGAACCTATTATTTAATAGGTTCAAAATTTTACATTCTGATAGTTCGATCTGACCAAAACAACAGGGAATATTATTAGTAGGAAAATTGTTTATGATTGTAGGCTATTATGTATGTGGACATAATGTTGGATGAGAGGTTTACAAAACAGACATGTAATTTACATATTTAAGATGAGCGCATGTATCAGAAACAGGTAATGTTTATAAAATAAAAACAATAATATTTCATATTCTTTTTTATTTTTCTATTTGACAGCTATGCAAATGTTAGCAAACTCCAGTATGAATGCTTTCAAAACAGAACACAGCTACTTTCATATAGAAAGCAATTAGCTTCTTTGCAACTCTCATTAGTATAAAAAACTAGTGTCAAATATTTTACGAGAACGCAAGCAAGCATTAATTACCTAAAAATCTGCAATTTTGTAGTTTATTGTAGCAACTGCAGAAATCTACATTAATCATGAGCTGTTATGTTTTTGACTTAAATTCCTATCAGGTCTACCTTTAGGTGGTCTTATTTTTTTTTAATGATAATTAAATAGTAACCCCACCTACGCTATCGGTATAAACCAGATGGGCGCCAGTGAAGGATGATAGATGAGGATGATGCCAGTTAGCCCATCGTGACGAATTCAACCAGAATTGTTCACGATGGTTTCCAGAAGAAAACACATGAAGGTCGACCTGATAGGGCATATTGCTAGCAATAGGGGGGCTATCAAAATCCATTGCTAATAATCCCTTTCCCCCTTGGTGGTCTTGTTTGGAAACCATCGTAACTAATTCCTAATAATATATCAAGATGTGCCAAGTGTCATGATTAAGTCCCATAATTCTTTAGCGTAAACACTGGCAGGATACCAGCGTTATTAGTTTACAAATAGTACAAATGAGGTTACAAATCCTTTTTCTTCAATTTAGTAAACTTACTCTTAACTGGTTTATCAAATTAAAATAGTTATCAACGTTCAAACACTAATCGTACCCATAAATAGCTTCGCAGTCCACGTCATCATTTTCTCCTACATTACGCAATGACGCAGCAAGGCAATGAACTCTATTTACCTACAATCGATTCCTATTTTTTGTTATTACTAAATAATCAAATAGCACGCTAGTTCGCGTGGTAATAATTATGATAATAATGCTTTAATTATATTAATTTTGATTTAATAATAACAGAGTTAACAACATAATCCACAATTTAAAAAGTTTTTTTTATGAAATTTAGAATGGCAAACAAGCTGATAGCCTATCTGATAGAAAGTGGTAACCGTCGCCTATAGACATAAGCAGTACCGTGGACATAACAGATTATACTATTTCGCCCATGACACCGATGATACCATGCGTTGCCATTCCTGTGGACTCAGGTGTTATTCCTCTGTACCCTAAAATTCATTACCGTATCCCATCCTTTAAACCGAAACACAGCTATAAAAACATAGCTACTTGACGGTACAAACACGAATGGGACAGAGGTGCCCAAGCAAACGAATTTTGTACAAAGTCTGCCTCTGGCATATTATTTTATCTATATTATATTGAGTACTAGAATTCCTTTTATCTTTCGTCCTTAGTTACCATATGTTACATAAAAATATCGTATGAAAAGGTGACGAAATAGTTGAACGTTACGAAAATAGAACATAAGAACTGGAAAAGGCGTAGGCTGATCTATTATGATCAAACGAAACAGGAAATAGATTAAAAATAGTTTTATATTCAAACGCCGTATGGTCCCGAAATATAATATAATATAATGCAATGTAAATTGGACTCTGTTTTCTGCGCTAAGCCTATATTGTGCCATTGTGCGTATAACTCATGCCTAGTATAGAAAAATCCCAGAAAACTTTTGTTTAGCATAGCTAAACAGAAGTTTTCTGGGATATTCACAGGCCTCATGGAGCGACGTAACTGTTCCGAGGATTTCTAATCATCTGCATCTTTCTGATTTAAAAATTTGTGTAATAAGAAGTGTTTTGAATAATTGAAAGACTGACATTATCTATACTTTTTTACTTCCGCATTTTTCACTATGGTATTATTTTAGTGCTGGTAATGGCATACTAACTTCACCTGTTCTATCGGTAAACGCTGGCGGGACAAGAGATAAGAGATGATAGGTGAAGATGAAAGTACTTGCTTTCATACTTATACACACACTCACTTTCACACTTATACTCACACTTGACACGATGGCCCAATGACGTCAGATGGCTCATCGTATTGAGTTCATCAACAATTAACCGTGATGGCTTCCGCTGGTTCCGATGGAACTGCATGGTGGTAGACCTGATAGGCTAGCGATGAGACTGTCCCGTTACTAATAATCCCTTTTCCTCTCGCCCCATGGTATTGTAATTGGGAGATTATTTACTTTTTCTTGAGTGCACGACTATATATAAGTCTATATAACATATCGTGACTTATATACTGTAATATATAAGTCACGATATGTTTTTCTTAATAAAAGCCCACCAATATATTCACAAATTTCCAGTGTTCATAGATGACGGAAGCCATTTTACAATGAATGTATAGTCTTCTTGTTGGCCTCATTATTAATAAAAATGTACAAAATTATATTAGTAAAATAAATACTCTCTTTTATTCTCTCGAAAAGATATCAGTAAACTTGTTGTCACAAAAAAATTACAAGAACAGCTTACACTAAAACAATGGGTGGCCTTATGGCTTAAAACAATTTCTGCTAGACAATTTTAGGATAAAAAAGAATAATATATTTTTATTATTTTTTTGTCCAGGCTCTAGCCGTGTCCGCATTAGCCCTTTTGCTGTCAGCCATCGTTGGAGTTAAGAAACTGGCATCACATGATGACCATGATGATCACCAAGTCATCTACGCAGGTCATCACGGTCACCACAGGAGAAGAAGAGACCTGGTCACACCACTGCCTTATCAAGGATGGGTACAATACGCACAAAAAACGTCATAGACTTTGAAAGCCGAAATTTCTCTTAGGGCGTTATTACACTAGCATATGTTCAGATTGTATATAAGATCATATTTTAAAAGTCATAATTTCAGTATGGAAATGTTATGCGATCGCACGTAAATATTCCAAAAACTATAATTATTGTTTTCACCACGTAGGTATTAAATTTACATAAATATGATCCTGTATATATGATAGTGTAACAACAACCATAATATTATCGCTTAGTCTTACCCAGTAAAGAGCTAGTAATAAAATTAATAAATAGAAAATTTATTTTGATGAATGACGAAAAAGTAATATAACATTTTATAGGAAAGTTTTGTGAAAAATGAAAAAAAATAGTGGATTATATCACAAGAGAATAAAATAGAGTTAGAAATTGTATCACACAGCGACTGAATCGATATACGTAGTCTGAGATAAAATGTGACCGATTTATATAATGTATTTTTTATTCTCATTTCAATAATTCATGCAAGAAAGAGATTAAAATGTTCATTCTTTTATAAAATAAAGAATAACTCAGATTATTATACTATTGAAAAACATTATCGTATTTTGGAAAATATCAAATTAAAAAGAATTTACTATTTCTTTTTATCGCAATAGTTCTTAAAATTATTATAGTTATTAATACTAATCAATCAATAATATATAAATGACATCACATAAATACGAAACGCTGATGCGAGCAATATTATTTCAACATTTATTGTATAAGCCCAATAATTGACTATTAAAAAAACTGCCAGTTATTTTTGCTATATTTGCTGGGTATATTAGACTGTTAGTTAAGTTAAATTTAATGTAAATAATTTATTACAAACACGATTACAACGAACGAAGAATTAATTTATTTCTGTTATTTATTAAACGATTTTATTTAAATTGCATTTATTTATTTTAAACGAAACTTAATTCCCAATAAACGATCTGTCAACACTTTTATTAGATAGAGCAAAAAAAAAACAGAATTCCGTCGAAGGTAATTGATGGATGTAGGTGATCCAGGGCTATTCCTGGGAGAGCGCGAAGGCATGTATTTTGTAGTGGACAATAAATGATTGAAGTAATATATAGGAAAGTAAAATATAGAGAAAAATCGACTATGTAGTTGTCATGAAGACAGAATTTAATATAAGGAACAATCAGTAGTCTAACACATTTAATACACTAGCGGAAAAAAATTAAAGGATCAAAAAAATATATAAATTTTTGGCGATTTTTCAAATGGTATTTAATAATTAAGATTGCGCGATACATGTTACTTAAGAATTTTTTTTGCCTCTATTAGAAACTTCAAGCTTCAAATGTGCTTTTTTTACTCAAATATAAGCATTTTTATCAGAGATATAGCCATTTGAAAAATCGCCGAAAATTAAGATTTTTTTTATCCTTAATTTTTCCAGCTTCCAGTGTATATTCCAAATGATTATGTGACAATTCTGATCTAACTGAAATGTTAGTTAACCAAAAGAAAGAATATTTTCAGTAATAAGAGACTGGATAGAGTTTGTCAAAAGAATGCCAGCAGGCGACACTTCTAGCAGAAGAAATTGAGTTTGTCTATAGCACATCAACGTTCTAAATTTTTTTTATATTTAGTATTAAAATAAAAAAAAGGTGATCTGGTTACACCGTCTTCGCTATTGGTCTTCGATGGCGAGGTATCACAATGTGAAGATAGATGAGGATAAAATCAGGTTAGTTGGCATATTGCAGGAGTAATCCTTATGACTTCCAGCATGGAGATCCATCTGACAGTGTATACTAGTCAACTAGTTCCTGTTATAAACAATCTCTCCCCCCCCTCCCCCATCCTAACAGCAGTAAGAAGATTTTTCTTATAATTAGTATAAAAATTTACAATTACCTCATTATTTCAGCCGTTAAATGCCCACTACTGAACATAAGCCTTCCCTATAAAGAGAGTTTGGCCAGTAGTTGCCACGCTTGGCAAGCGGGTTGGTAACTGCACTTAGTTTTTTAGAATCGTTTTAAAAGGAATGCTGCTGCCCATTCCTCTACTATTAAGAACTCTCCCCTCCCCCTCAACCTTTTACGACACTCACGGGTAAGGAAGGAGTGGTTTAATCTATGCTAGGACCTCACATCCAAAATACTTCCTATTATTATAAACACCTAGTGAGTAAAATTAATAGCTAATTGTAACTTCTTAAAGGGTAGAGAATAAGGCCCAAAACTATCATATCAAGATGCCCTTGTAGCTTTGTATCTACTACAAATTATTCTCAAGTAACTGTATTAATATTTCACAAGTTAATACTTGGTTAGTTTCAAGCAAATAACATAATTCAAGTGTAAACTAGGTGACCAGAACAATAACTCCTACAAGATTACTAATGATTCTAAAACCCACTCAACATCGGTCTTATAGACAAATTAAATTATTTAAACACAATACAGCTATGAAGGAGTAATTTTAATTGATTTCAAGTAACAGAGGATTATGTAAGGATTTCATTATCAATTAGTCTCAATGACGTAAGTCATTGTATAATAATATTTCTCGTAAGTGGTAAATAATTATTGTTTGTTGTTTACTTCATTTTAATAAATTTGATTTTATTGTTTACATTTTATGTAACTACGTCTTTAAATGCGTATTTATTTTTATTTATTATTATTTACCAGACGGAGACTGTATAAAAGTCGTTTGCCTACGTTTGGCTTGCGTTTGGTCACCTCTGTCCTATTGGCTGTTTCTATTTGTTTCTATTTGGCTGTTTCGGTTTGAAGGGTGAGATATGGCAGTGAATTTACAGGGTACAGAGGAATAACACCTGAATCCTCAGGAATGGCAACGCTTGAAAGATATCATGGGCGAAACAGTATACTCTGTTATGTCCATGGTATTGCTCACGTCTATAGGCGACGGTTACCACTTTCCATCAGGTGAAAAAAAAAGAACTATTGACCAAGTTAAAGTATGGTGCAAAAGGCGTAAATAATGCTTGTAGAATTGTTTACCAGCATATATTCATATTTCTTATTATTACTATAAAGAAAATGGTTTTTGTGACCTCTTTCCACAAAACAAAAAATCAACTTAATTTTATTATAAATTAAGTTAAATTTTTGTTGAAATTAGATGAAAAAGGTAATTCTTTCAATTTGTGGAAAATTCTCTATATTTGCATGTTTTTCGCTTTTTACACCTTTTAGCAAGGTTAGTGGCCAGTTTGACTTTAATATTCAAATGACTTGACATTAACATTTACGTCCACAAACCAAAGGAAGTCATATATCACTCGAAATAGGATATTACTTTGGATAGCTTGATAACATGGATTAATGTAGCAGAATAACACGACATTGATTCACTACACGTATCTACCTAAAATTAGTTGTAACTGTGAGTAATGAATCGATTAGTGTAGAGTAATAATCGATTATTCGATATTGTTTAGTAATAATGATCGAATCATCAATAAACCTATTTATAATATTGATTATGATATAAATTAAATTGATAGTGTTAATAAAATGCATTTTGATTGACGTGTATTTAATAATCAATTATGATCTAATAATGAATGTAATATAATCCATCACAATGGATTATACATAGCCCTCCAACATAAGAGGGGATCTTGCCAGTAGTTGCCATACTTGGCAGGTGAGTTGACGACTGCAGTTAGCCTTTCATAATGTTTTAATAGGGTCACTGATCCTTCGACCTTTATGTTCTCTTAGTCGCTTCTTACGACACTGAGGAAAAGTAAAGTTTGGTCCATCGGAGTGATAACGATTGATAGCAAGTTCAAAATGTTGCTGTCGATAATTTTATAATATAGTCAATTTTACCTACTGTCGACAAATGAATAGATCTAAATCAATAATGATAATATAATCGTTTATAATATATTATCGATTCGATTATTTGTTTCCTTATTCGAACTATTAATTAACAGTCGATAACGAATATTAGGTAACAACACTAGTACCGAACTACACACCGGAAAGCTAAAATAAATCATAGGCCTAGACATATCTTCATTTGCTTGTAAGTTATTCTAGCCATTTAGCAATAATAACTTTCGTAGTTATGCCAACTAATATTTATATGAATTACTACTTGATTTATCTAGTTAGTAATTTATAAATTTCTATTTTTACAGAGCCCAATCAATTAATTAAACTAAAAAATTTACTAACAGTTGATTTACGTTGACTATTTGACAATTTCAGTATTTGTTGGTAGACCAATAGGACAGTGGACTGATGATATAACAGAATATACAGGAAAAGACTGGTTTATGATAGGCAGAAACAGAGAGTTGTGGAAAAAGATGGAAGAGCCCTTCACCCAAAGAATCCATATCCAAGAATCGAAGAAAGAATTACACTAACAATTAGTTATTAAGAAAAAATATAAATAGATTAGATACTAACATTACTGTGAATATATTAGGGATATGGAAATAAATAAAAGGCTTTATTATTATTATTATTTGAATACCAGAGGGAGACTTTGTACAAAAGTCGTTTGCTTTTCTACCTCTGTCCCTGTTCGGTTTGAAGGGTGGAATATGGCGTGAATTTACAGGGTACAGAGAAATAACACCTGAGTCCTCGGGAATGGCAACGCGTGAAGGGTATCATGGGCGAAACAGTATACTCTGTTATGTCCACGGTACTGCCTTGTCTATAGGCGACGGTTACTACTTTCCATCAGGTGGGCCGTCAGCTTGTTTGCCATTCTAAGTTGTATAAAAAATATATATTATTATTTGACAGTTTCACTTATTAGGGTTTGAAAACTCAAGTGTTTCTTTCAATTTGACAACAACCGCGTGACCTAGTCAGAAGAGATTGTTAGTGATAGGAACTAATATCCCCATTGATAGCTATACACCCTGTTAGGTCGACCTCCTAAAAACCGTCGTGCTCAGTTTCAAGTGAATTTATTACGATAATAACAGGTAAGAGAATGACAAGGCAGGCCTTTTCATCCTCACCCGTCATCCTGTACTAAGTGTATGTTAGTGACCTTAGAGCGTATATCGTTAACACAGCCGGAATTACCTTTCTATTATTATCATAAAAATAATTATATATATCATTATATTGAAAAAAGTATGCACATGACACACCTGGCGTTGTAGACATTCATAGATTACAATACTTTTTTTTTACTTTTATTATATATTTTCTTCCTTTGCTATAGATAGATATAGATTGATACTCTTTATTGTTTCCTCCAAAAGATTACAATAGTAAACTTATTATAAATATAAACAATTACAAGAAATAATCACAATGAGAAAACAATGGGCGATCTTATCTCTAAAAGCGATCTTTTCCAGGCAACCTTTGGATGGAGAGGAGTAATTGCTATAGTTTTGTTATGAGGTTTTCTTTCTCAGCTGCCATGTTGTTTCCAGAATCGATATGAAGTAACATATAGTTTAACTATAATAATCTAATATGACATAATCTTTAACCATCAGACGGGTTGTTTGTCATCTTTGTAGTACAATCATTCTCATATCAGCCGTTAACTGTTCACTGCTGAACATAAACTTTTTCAATAAGAGGAGTTTTGCCACGTTTAGCAAGAGAGATGGTAACCGCAGTCAAGCTTTTAATGATGATTTATTCATCCCAC